AAAAAATATTATCAGACACACTGTAAAAATTTCCTTGCTCTGTTCAACATCATTTAGAAAATATTTTAAAAAGAATTCAATGGGGGCTGACTTCAACTGGATATATAAATATATATATAAATATGTTGTGTTCCTTTTTTATATTTTTAGCATTTTTTTAAAAAGTATTTTTATATTTTTCAGCAGCTCTACTCTCCTAAGACTGCTGCCCCCGCGACCCGGCCCCGGAGAAGCAGTAGAAAATGAATTAATGAATAATGTAAATTAATCATCTACTGTTTTAGGAATTGTAATAATAATCATAATAATTATTATTATTATTTATTGTCGTTTTGTTAATGTTGTTAGCATTATATCAATATTTGAATCATATATTATATTATATTATATTATATTATATTATATTATATTATATTATATTATATTATATTATATTATATTATATTAAAAACACCGCAATGCAATTTTAAATATTTGAATGCATATTAATAAACTTTTAAATAAATTAAATATAATTTAATAAATACATCTTTTTATTATTAATATTTTAAGCATCTTTTTCTTAGATAGATTTATGATATAAATTATTTATGCTAAATGATAAAGTACAGCAGGCTCTATGCTATAGTCAAGATTGAATGTTGTGTGTGTGTGTGTGTGTGTGTGTGTGTGTGTGTGTGTGTGTGTGTGTGTGTGTGTGTGTGTGTGTGTGCGCGCGTGCGTACGTGCGTGTGCAAATATGCTAAAGCACCTTTTCCTACAAACAGCACATGATTTTCCTCCCACACACACACACACACTCAGCACAGCGTCTGTTTCACTTCAGAGACACACACTCTGTTTACCTCATTTGGAAACACAGTTCAGCCTCAGTTTTACATTTATGCTCACAGATAAAGATGAAAACACGAGGAAAGACTTGGGATTCTCCTGAAGTGTGTGTTTGTTAAAGTTGTGTGTGTGTGTGTGTGTGTGTGTGTGTATGTGTATGTGTTTTTGTGACATATCAGGACACAAATCTGTATAATGACAGGGGTATGACAGGTATTACAAAAAGGAGGTGAAATATGAGGACATTGGTGACGTCCTCATTTTTCAAAATGCTTATAAATCCTACAGAATGAGTTTAATTGGAGAGTAAAGCTACACAGTCTCCTGTGATGGTTGGGTTTAGGGGTGGGGTGGGGTGAGGGCAATACAATATACGGTTTGGACAGTATAAAATGAATGGAAACCTATGTAATGTCCCCACTTTTCACAAAAACAAACGTGTGTGTGTGATTGTGTGTCTGCGTGTGTGCATGCGTATTGCAGGTTCTTCTGGTTCCTGGAGGAGTGTTTAACATCAACAGCTCAGATCCCTGTCCATATGTCAGAG